TTAGAAATGTCTAGAAAAACATAATGACAGTGAAGTTTTATTGTTAAGCACAAAGATACATAATGGGTTACTTATACTGTGTCCACCACGTATATCAAACCCAGATTTTAGTGTTGTAAGCCTTTAGGCTAACCGCTGAGTCATTGGGGATCAGGCAGTGAAACTACGAAATAAAAAAAAACCAACTGTAGAAGAAGAAGGTCATAGAAGTAGTGAGGAAGTTTTTTTTTTTTTCCGTCTTCAGTTGCTCCAAAGGAATAAAGATGGAGACAAATTTTGACAATTTACAAGGTAAGGAGGATAGCATTGGCTTTTCACAGTTTGGTTGAAGAGAAAATTGGGATTGTGCAAAATTAGAAGCTTCTCAAGGCTGGATTCGTTTTTTTTTAAATCTGTTAACCTCCTGGGTGTATTATTGGCAGCAATCCAAATGGTCACGGTTCATTTCATGGTACAACAGTATCAGAGTAGCTTCCACGTAACGAATCGGGCAGTAGAAACGTTAACTGTAAAATTTAAATGTTATTAAACTGCAATTCAGTGATGCTATGAAGATGGTTACGCACTTGCTGAAGGTATGTTCAATTAGTAAAGATGAAAAATATTGTTAAATCGAATACAATATTTTGCTGTTATTACATGTTGTATAGGCTCTTCAGTGTCCATGTTTGGCGGACAAACTGTGAACAAAAGTAAAATTATGACTATCTGAAGTAGGTGCACCAAATCGAATAAATTTGCTCAAGTCGCCATATTGATGATGTCATCAAAGAGCAACTAATAATTGACCGAATTTTTCAAACCGAAGTTGTATTTTATAAGCATGCGATATTTAATCAGGATTGGATATTATCTGCATACTTTTCCATATTCTCTTCTCGAATCCCTCAAATTTTGAATATTCCTTGTGAAATAGGGTTAATTAGGTAATTTGCATATCAGTATTCTTTCCCAAAAGTGAATTTTGGATATGTTAAAGATAAAAAATTCCGGTTCTAACGATCAAAAACAGCTTAGTAGCATTTTATTTCCAGGTCTTACTCTTTAACGAACATATTATTCTAGAACACACTGTACACTGCTTTCTGTAAGCATGTTAATGGCCCGGCATGGCCAGGTGGTTAGGGATCTCGA